CACGTTCTCTCGTCCTGGCCACACCTCCGCTCTCTAACCCCCCCTCCCCACTTTGATGCATTTTTCAAATTTCGCCTGGGGGCGGAGTTATCTCTTCACAGGGGGGTAAGYWACACTTTAAATAAGACTTGGTGAAAATCAACAAGTAGTTCAGCTTGTAGATCCACACATTGATCAGCTGATTATTCAGTCAGTTTCAGGTTCAGCAGCTCAACAAGTTGTTTTCTGAAATGATTTCAGCAGCGTGTTTCTCTTCATATGAATCATAATTAACCCTTACACTGCTGGAAGAGGTGAGACTCACATGTCTGATCAGGAAATCTGGGATCCCTTCAGTGGGACCAGTAATCCAGCGGTGCATTAATCCTGAATGATTGACAGCTGCTTGAACGAGCCGCCCTGCTGAAGTGTGGCCTGATGTTAGAGCAACAGATTACAGCTGAGATCCTGGATTTATAAACCATGAACCTCAGGTTCATCTAGACTATCTGACCTCAGCTTGTTTGAATATGATGGAACAAAATAAACTCTAGTGTCTGTTTGTTAAACATTATTTAAAGTATAACTGAGGTGATGTCTCTGTAGTTCACATGTATTCATGTGTTACTGTGGGAATGTTTCCTTCATACCAAGTCCAAGATGAGAATCATGACCTGAGTCTGTGTAGAGGATCAGGTTCTAACTGGTTCTCTGTATTTACCTGTCAAACAACACAAAATGGACACCTGTCCTCTGTGTCCATTCCTATTTGACCAGGACTAAAACATGTCAGGACTGCCTGGGAGCAGGTGAGTCCACCTAATTAAGGTCTCACCTGGAAGCGGGGCAGGTCTGAGGYTTGGAAGTCATTGGGCGAGCAGCCACACCAGTCCACGATGTGTTTGTACTGACACTTACAGCCCAGCCTCCGGTTCCAGTTGGTGAGCCTCAGGTTGTTGTCCACCATGGTCTGACACAGGACGCTGTTCTCCAGGACCGTGTGGAAGAAGGACTGTGGGTTTAAAGACAAACCCAGGGTCAGGTTCTGATCCGAGGATCAGAATCTGACCCTGGTACTGTGGTCTGACCAGGTCTAACCCTGACCCTGGTACTGTGGTCTGACCAGGTCTAAACCTGACCCTGGTACTGTGGTCTGACCAGGTCTAAACCTGACCCTGGTACTGTGGTCAGACCAGGTCTAACCCCAAACAAAACAAACCTTTTTCTTTCTTTTCACAGCAGCTTGTGTAAAATCTGTTACTTTCATTTCAATACGTTTTTAAAAAAATATGATTAAAGAAATCAGCTGTGTGTGTGTGTGTGTGTGTGTGTGTGTGTGTGTGTGTGTGTGTGTGTGTGTGATAACCTCAGCAGGAAGCAGAGTGTAACCATAGAACTGTTTCAGGCCATTGACCAGCTCATCCTCTGAGTTCACAACATAATCCACAAAGGCCCGGTTGAACAGGAACCAATCAGAACCTCCGTCCACAGTGATGCCTTCAGGGATCCTCCGGTCTCCCAGGCGCCACATGTGAGCATCGCACTCGTAGAAGAGGCGGTCCAGACCCTGTTTCCGGATGAACCTGCAGAGACAAACAGATGCATGCTGGGTATTTGTTAGTGACGCTCCAAACCATCTCCAGCTGCACAACATCTGAGCTGCTCACCGTGCGTTGTCTCTGCCGTGAGACTTGATGAAGTTCAGGTTCTGATGTTTGGACAGGAAGGCCACAAGCTGCTCACTGGTCCTGAGGACAAACAGAACCGGGTCAGGTCCTGAAGGACTCAACCTGTTCCCAGGAACACTCAGAACCTAACCTGGCTCTAAAAACCACAGAGACGTGTGTTCTACTAACATTTGTTCTGACAGTCATGTAACGTGTTCTAACAGTCATGTAGCGTGTTCTGACAGTCATGTAACATGTGTTCTAACAGTCATGTAACATGTGTTCTGACAGTCATGTAACACGTGTTCTGTCATGTAACGTGTTCTAACAGTCATGTAACGTGTTCTAACAGACATGTAGCGTGTTCTGACAGTCATGTAACATGTGTTCTAACAGTCATGTAACATGTGTTCTGACAGTCATGTAACACGTGTTCTGTCATGTAACGTGTTCTAACAGTCATGTAACACGTGTTCTGTCATGTAACGTGTTCTAACAGTCATGTAACGTGTTCTAACAGACATGTAGCGTGTTCTGACAGTCATGTAACATGTGTTCTAACAGTCATGTAACATGTGTTCTGACAGTCATGTAACACGTGTTCTGTCATGTAACGTGTTCTAACAGTCATGTAACACGTGTTCTGTCATGTAACGTGTTCTAACAGACATGTAACATGTGTTCTAACAGTCATGTAACATGTGTTCTAACAGTCATGTAACATGTGTTCTGACAGTCATGTAACACGTGTTCTGTCATGTAACGTGTTCTAACAGTCACGTAACGTGTTCTAACAGACATGTAGCGTGTTCTGACAGTCATGTAACATGTGTTCTAACAGTCATGTAACATGTGTTCTGACAGTCATGTAACGTGTTCTAACAGACATGTAGCGTGTTCTGACAGTCATGTAACATGTGTTCTAACAGTCATGTAACATGTG